GGAAATGTCCTGTTCTACCAAAATAAACCTCCAATAAAATTATTTTTACACTTGTCTCAAAATTATTTTCCATCTCTCAATCATCTATTAATCTATCTCTATTTTATCCAATCTAACTAATCCAGTAACCTTTTCTGCTATACCTTAAGGGGAAAAATGCCGTGGACGTACCTGGCCACAGGAGGGCAGCAATCCCTGTCTTGCCATCCTCGGTGCCCTATTAGGAATGAAATTTTAGCTGCTTGTGGAACTAACATTTATATTCTTTTGACAGCCTCTTCTGTGGCTGCTTTGAGCATTCAGTAAAGAATGAAAAGCCACTCCAGGGCTTCATTGCCAAATGTTACAGCACACAGTGGCCACAAGAGGACAGACTTTGCAGCTTTTACTAAACTCAGCTTTAGGCTGTTCACTTATGTATAATAAAGTTTAATTATGTTTAATAAAGGTGTACTTTGAGAGACCCTAGAAAAAAAGCACCCAGTTGTAGGAATCATAATGACATTAGAATTTCTGGCCAGGGGTTATGGTGAAAGGCCAGCAGGGGCCCAAAGTGTGCAAAGGCAAGGCTGGGAGGCTGCCGCCCTGCCACGCAGCTGCCTTGATGAGACTTGGCTACCCGGTTTACCAGGGGCACATTTGTTGCACATATTTCCCACAAGAAAACAGGGCTACGAAAGAGGTTAATAGGCTCCCGGCCGGTAGAAAGCTTAAAATCTATCTCTAAACAAGCATGCCACACACAAGACTCCTGGTTAATGATTTCTTTAGCATGTAGCCTTTTCCAGTAAAAAATTGTAATAGACAAGCAACTGAAACTGAAAAAAATAAAGCAAGGTTCAACCCAAATCATCACTCATTTATTATAATTCTCATTTACCTTGCATTCAATCGTATAATAATCAGTGTTCTACATATAAAACGCTTATTAAAAAAATACATTTCTTTAAAGCTGCTTCTGTTAAAAAAAGTGAGATATAGCTTAAGTAAATTACACACCCAGTTTGCCCACGTTGGATTTTAGGGAACAGGTTTGCAAACCATAGAAAGTCGCATCAGCCACCACTGAAGATGCAACTATCCCCCGCCCCAAAAAAATCTGATCTCCTGATGGGCTGGAGGAAAAGATGACTGCCAGATAAAGGGAAGGCTTACAATTTTTCTTTTGCCTACTGAATGGGTCCTTGAGCATAGCTGCACTCCCTCCATCGTCTCAAGAGGCTGCTGAGCTATTTTTCCATCCATAAACCTGGCACTTGATCCAGACAAAAGAATGATTGTCAAATAGAAACTTTCCCTCCGATTGAGCAGGTCCTTAGCTTAGTCTCAACAAGCTCAGGAACTATTTTATCAACTTGGTCCACAAGATACCTTGAATTGACACAATCTCTACAACGTGACACTCATCAACATTGACCTAACAAGGCACACTTTGGTTTTGACCTTTCTCTAACCTGAAATTCTCAAAAACTATTTTTTGGCGGGGATGCGCATGGGGTGAGATAGGAAGACAGATCTTGTGTAACATGCAGTGGCTTTACTTTACAACTGGTCAGCTCAGACCTTTGTTTAGTTCATTCAGACCGCCAGGAATAATCAAATTGAGTAACTCTTCAATTCTCCCTGCCAATAGATTGAATTATATCTTCTACGCCTCCCACTAGCGAGTGTTAAAAAGTGCAGTACAGTGAAAGATGCCCAGAGCAATATTTTTGGGTGACCACATCTGGGGAAGAGGAAACAGCACCCCAAAAGGTTCCAGGGGGCTGTAAAAAAAACTGCCCCAAATTTTTAAAAAGTGCATGTCCAGAGACTTCCTTTTTTTGCTTTTTTTTTTTTTTTTACAGTGCATACAGAGGAAATTGTTGCAAATATTTTCTCCCTTGTTTTTGGGACCCTTAAAAAATAGAAACCCTTAGTAGAAATCCAGCTTAGTCTGCACGGTTTTACAGCCTTTGTCTGAGTAAATCTTCTCTTCTTTGGGGAAAAAGGTCATCTCTTCTGCCACCTTTTCAACGATCTCTTCGTCGATGGCGTTGCCGCGGGATTTCATCTCTGCCCGGATACACATTTTGACATGCTTGTACTCCAGGGGAAGGAAAGGCACAAAGTAATCGATGAGGTTTCGGTCGATCAGGCTGCTGTGCCACAGGCCACCTGCGGGAGAGACAAGGTGTTTGAAATGGGGGAAGGGCTGGAAGGAAAGCAGACGTGGCCCACAACCGGTTTGCATTATGATCGCTGAAAACCTCCTTCTATGCATGCCATGGTAGGAATTTGTAGCGGGGCCTTATTGGTGGTGGCTCCCTCTTCTTCCTGCAATGTTCTCCCAAAATAGATTTGGGAGATGCCTATGATAATTTCCAGAAGGTTCTGGTTGAAAACTTCTGTCTTCAGCCTATCCTTTCAGGTACTGATGTCGGATTAAACTTTCTTTATTGGCCTTCCTCCCTCCCTTTCTCCTTTGTCTCCCTCCCTTCTTCCTTCCCATTCTCGTTTCCTTTCCTTTCCTTCCTTCCTTCCTTCCCTTTCTCTCCTTTTCCTCCCTTCCTTGCTCCCTTCCTTTCTTTCCCTTTTTTCTTCCCTTCCCATTATCTATCATCCCGTCCCATTATCTATCATTATCATCTATATATCTACCATCTCTATCTCTCATATCAATCTCTCATCTCTATCTATCATCTATCTATTTATTATCTATCTATCTTATTATCTGTCTATTATCTATTCAATATCTGTCTATTATCTATTATCTATTCAATATCTGTCTATTATCTATCTATCTGTCTATATATCATCTATCTATCTATCTATCTATCTATCTATCTATCTATCTATCTATCTATCCTGTCCGTCCGTCCATCCTGTCTGTCTGTCTGTCTGTCTGTCTGTCTGTCCGTCCGTCCATCCATCCATCCATCCATCCATCCATCCATCTACCTATCTATCATCTTTCCCCAATTTCAAGACAAACTCTTTCAGCCATCCTGGGAACTGATAATATACAGATGCCTAACTGACAAAGACATTCCCCATATCTTGATATTTAGAAAACCTGGCTTTTTGCACGGGGTTTTGGAGGTGGAAACATCCAACATAGGGCAAATCCAAGACCACGACTCACTGTTCCGGTTGTTGAAAACCCCCAAAGATAAGACCGCTTCCAAATCTTTCAACTGGATCTCTTCCCTCTCTCGGCCGCTCCTCCAAAACTCAAGTGCGACTCTCGTGATCAGGTCTCCTCCCGCGTTACTGTGGGGGAAGCAGAAGTTGAAAAGAACCAGCATTACAAACCCAATTGGATCCACGGAGCTCTTAAGACAACGGGGAGGCAACCTGCAGCCTCACTGCCAAAGCTGCCTGTCCCATTTTACCGCCTGATTCTTGATCCTGAATTTGAGTGTGTATTTTCCAAAAGTCCGCAGAATGAATTCCTGCAGCTTAAGACAAAAAACTCATCTCTAAAACCCTCTGGGCAGGAGCGGGAGATAACGCCACAAGTGATGTACTCCCACCCCTGCTGAATTCCTGCCTGCACCCTAAGGAGAATAGAACAGAATAGAATTCTTGATGGGCCAAGTGTGATTGGACCCACAAGGAATTTGGGCTATCAACATGGCAGAGATCCTGGCTTACTTTTTCTCTCTGGAAACCCCGTACATTCTGGATTCAATTGTGGTGGTAAGCTGAGGATTATGCCTGAAGTCTTGTAATAGCAACGATATCTTAGGTTAGATGGAAGGAAAACCACGGAGGGCAAATCCACTCCGATTTTAACAAGCTCTGGTTAACTCATTCAGATGGCAGGTCTCCCGGCACCTGAGGAAGATGAAGATGGCTCTCCGATACGACACGCCGTCGATCTGCTCATAGTAATCCAGGAAGGGTTTGATGGCGTCAATCAGCCCCGGGTGCAGCTTATCCATTTCGTCGAAGATGAAGACAGACTTTGCGCAGGCGCTCACGTTCCCGTGGATCCATTTCTGCAGCTGGTCCTGGGAAACCAGAAGGAGGTGAAAGTTGTGCCAAGATTCCTCTCCCCGTTTCCATTGGAAGGGAACGGGATCACCTCTCCAGATCTTGGCAACCGACTCATATTTAGGGTCCCAGGGTAAAGGGAGAAGGCAGATTCACTTAAAAGACTGGACTACTAGCCTATCAACTGCAATGATTCACTTAACAGCGGTGGCAAGAAAGCTCATAACATGGGGTAAAACTTACTGAACAACTATCTCGCTTAGCAACATAAATTTTAGGCTCAATTGTGGTTGTAGGTTGAATCTATGAATCCAGACCAAAATCCTTAACCTTAAATACCCAGAACATTTAAAGTTTCGCTTTCTATTCCTCTCCGCTTCCTCCTTCCAACTGCTTTGTCCTTTCTAGAAGTCACAAGATTATTATTTTTACAAAGGGGGATTTCTATGTCCCGTGGAACCAGTTCAGCTTGTTTTTTCGCGCTCTCCCGAAAGATCACCAGAGGACAAATAAATAGCATTTCCTGCTTGGTTGTCCAGCGTCACCCGAGTCCTGGAGATGCCACCAAGTCATGACATTGGTTTCCAGCTCCTTTCCCTCCCCTAATATTGGGGAGTGGGTTGGGGGGGGGGGGTCCTATTGTTGGGTTCCTTAGTCACAATTCTCAGGGATACCAGATTGTAAAATGAACACAACGCCGGCCTGGAAGCGGCTGCAATGCTGACAAAAGATTCTCCCCCCAAAGTGCCCCCTTTTTGCACTGAGCTGAAGTGACTCAGGTTTTGCTCTCACCTTGTAGTGGGGGACCAGGTGCTCGTGCGGGAAATGCAGCGTGGAAAGAAACAGGTGCACGAATTTGCTCTTCAGGCCGGCTGGGTAAAGGTTCTCGGCAATGATCTGGCTGATGAAGTTTTTGCCCGTCCCGGCCCAGCCGTGCAGCGAGAGGGCCAGTGGCTTCTTCGGGTTGGGGTTCTGGATGAAGCCGGTCAGCGCCTTCAGGGTGACCTCTTGGGCCAAGTGCTGCCCGAAGAGCCTCTGTTCCAGGGACTGCTGCAGGGCTGCGGAGGAGGAGGAAGGGAAAATGAAGAGAAGGAAGGAAGGAAGGAAGGAAGGAAGGGAGGGAGGGAGGGAGGGAGGGAGGGAAGAAGGAAGGAAGGAAGGAAGGAAGGAAGGAAGGAAGGAAGGAAGGAAAGAAGAAAAGGGAGGGAGGGAGGGAGAAAAGGGAGGAAGGAAGGAGGAAGGGAGATGAGAGAGAATGGAGAAAAGGGAGGGAGGGAAGAAGGAAGGAAGATGAGAGAGAAGGAAGGGAGAAAAGGGAGGGAGGGAAGGATGTGGGAATGAGAGGAAGGAAAGGAAGGAGGGAAGAAGGGAACGGAAGGAAAGGGGGACGGGAAAGGAAGGAAAAATGAAGAGAAGGAAGGGGATGAAGAAAAGAGAAGGATGGGAAGAAGGAGGAAGGAAGGAAGGAAGAACCGTGAGCAACCATAAACTTTTGAGTCTTTTTATATCCTCCTTTTCCTAACTCCTCTACAGATTGATTCCTATACACCTAAGAGCTCAAACAGGCGCAGAGAGGGGCTGGGGAGGATGGGAAGTGTATTCCCATGCTTCCATGGAGCAGTTTGTGGGGAAGGCCAGCTGGGGAGGAGGGAAGATGGACACCCCGACCCCCTGCATCCTTAGACAACCAAGAAGGGCAAAGACAGATGGGGAGGATGGGATGCACAGACTCCTGTACACATAGGACGAGTAGAGGCCGGCTGGGGAGGATGGGAAGGTCGTCCCCGTGTTTCCAGAGACCGGCTGGGGAGGATAGGAGATGGAGTCCTATACCTTGAAAGCAGGGGAGCAGAGATGCTGGGGAGCATGGGAGATAGATTCCCGGGGAGGAAGGACCGGGCTGGCCTCCCCATCCCCGGCTGTGCACGATGGGAGCCCCCCCTCCCCCCAAATACCTGCCGGGTCGAGACAGTGGTCGTCGGGGAGGCAGCACTCCACGAAGCCGCAGTAGAAGCGGGGCTGGGCGAGGAAGCCGGTCAGCACTGAGGCCGCCGTGATGGCCAGGCTGACGCTGACCGGCTCCAACGCCGCCGCCGCCGCCACCACCAACGCCAGCAGCCCCGCCGGCCGCCTCATGGCTGCCTCTGCCCCGCCCGCACAGACTACAACTCCCGGCGCGCCCCGCGGCGGCGCTCCCGTCCGGCTCTGCGCGCAGGCGCCCACATCTTGGTCCAGGGCGCCCCGGGCCCTCTGGTGGCCGGTCCGAGGATGACAGCTTTGCAAAACCAAAGCCCGGTCAAGGCAGGCAGCCTGGATCTCCTCCCCTCTGCCCCCATCGTTGCTTGTTCTAAACCACGATGGTTGGCAAGATGTGTTCAATCGGGGTGGGTGGAGTACAGACCTTCTAGTCCAGGGGGTCTATGGAGATTCTCCGCCATCCAGGTCACGGTTGTCGAAGCGCATGTCCATCGAACCAGTTGTTACACCGGCTGAATCCCACCCCTGATTGTAAGCCAAGGACTAATTGTATACTCTGTTTATCGCAAAGGCTGGTCAATGCTCATAATAAAGATATTTGTTTCGAGTTGATTTGAGACAATGTTTTACAATGTTTTACACACTGACAAATCAATCCCAGGTCTTGTGCTTGTGCTGTGCATTAAACCATAAATTAGCCAACATGGCTGGGGTCAAACGACACTCCAAACAGCTGAAGGAAACCAAAGGATAAAAAACAACTAATGCAATGTGTGAACGCAAGAGCAAGTTTAATGGTGTGAGTCCGGCCACAGGATCACACCTCCACCACCCTTCACAGTGCAACAGCCCATAAGCCAACATGGCTTGTTGGCTTATGGGCTGTTGGATTCTGTCTTGTCGAATTGTGGCTTGTTGGATCAGGCTTTGTTGAGTGATTTAATTCTATAATGGCCTTATTTTTAATTTAGGGCTTAGCTGCCACTTGCAGAGCCAGATAAAATTCATGATGGCTTACGTTCGTGACCCAAGCTCTCATGACTACATCTCCCAGGAAGCCTTGCTGCAGTTTCCTGCTCATCCGTTTTCCCTTTCCAATTCCCGTTTGCCAAATCTGTGAGTGGCCACATAAGGAGAAGGTGCAAAGGGCAGGATTCCTTCCTCCCCCACTCAAACAGGTTTGTTTTAAAGTCATGTTTAAACTTGACATAAACTCTGTCCCTGCAAAGCAAACTTTGGGGAAACCCTGAGTAAACAAGGAAGCAAAATGAGACACGCAAGAAATGTTGGAACGCTCCAAAAGTAAATACTACACCGACACCGGAAAGCTAATCTATCTACTACTAAAACTGTCCTTATATAAACTTTAACTAGCAAAAACGCCGCTTAGTTAGGACAAGTTTTGAATCAGAATATCTCAAATGGGCTAAAACTGACAGAATGCACCTACATTTCAGGAGCTAAGTCTCCACGGAATTGAAAAAATGGCAAATGTAACAAAACAACTTTTGCCTACCCCTAAAACACTCATTCTGTAACTTTTAACAGGGCAAAACGGGGCTTCCTAGGGCAACAATGAATCTCAAATACAATATCTAACAGAATGCGCCCAAAATTCAGGGACTAGCACTCCATGGAACTGAACCTGGCAGATTTAATAAAACAACATTCATTGAGCACATAAAACTCTCAATCTGTAAACCTTTTCAAGGCTACTATTTTCACAGTTGCCATCCCACCACCCTGATTGCCCTGGGGAAACTGGGAATTTCGAAAATAGATTTATCCTCCTCCATAAAACATTCCATTGGACCACTAATTACGCTGGCTGAGTGGCCCTTATGGATTGATCAACCCATCAATAATATGCCCTCTATGTAAACTGAAAAGTTCAAGCAACCTTTATGCATTTCATCCATTCCAGGAGTCTTGGATTTCAGCCCCCATGTTGCTCAACCAGTTAAGGCAGGGTAGGGGGGATAGGCTGAAAGTCTACGTAAAGAGATCCCTCAGCTCTCAATTGCCATCCTCTGAAACCACCCTACCTTTCCATATTTTGTAACGGGTATCTGGCAAAAAAATCAGAAAATAAAATACAGGGTGAATAGTCAAGACCTTGTTGATGATCCAAACTCTGTCAAGGATCTTGGAGTACTCATCTCAAATGACCTAAGTGCTAAAGCCCACTGTAACTACATAGCCAAAATAACTATGTTTTTACTTATACCTATTATCTTGTAAGCAATTTACAAATAAAAATAAATAAATAAAAATAAAATAAATTGTCTCATGAAAGCAGAAACTTTTTCAGCCTTTTTGTCAATGTGTCAATAGTGACTTTTCAGCACCTTGGACAGCTACCCTTCCCATCACCTCAGGGAAGTGTTTCCCAGCTGATGGCGACATAAAAAATTAATAAATAAATAAACCTTGTCCACTCTTAAAATGTGTGGACTTCAACGCCCAGAATTTGGGGCGTTGAAGTCCACACGTCTTGGAGTTGCTAAGGTTGAGAAAATCCTACATTAGGGCCTAATGGTCAAAGAAACTTGTAAGTTGCACCTAAATTGGAAAGTCAACTATGTGAACTCTTAATGAGACTGTCGCATGGATTGTCACAGAGAAGAGGGAGTCAAGCTATTCTCCAAAAAGCACCTGAAGGCAGGACAAGAAGCAACGGATGGAAACTAATCAAGGAGAGAAGCAACTTAGAACTAAGGAGAAATTTTCTGACAGTGAGAACAATTAATCAGTAAAACTGCTTGCCTCCAGAAGTTGTGGCTGCTCCATCCCTAGAGGTCTTCAAGAAGAGATTGGACAAGTATATAAGGAACGGGATAGGGACTCCTGCTTGAATAGGGATGGGATTAGAAGACCCCCCAAGGTCCCTTCCATGCCTATGATTCTGTTCTATGAGATCTTCCTGTAGGTCCTGAGATGGACAGGTTCACACAATACATTAAGCCACCAAAGTGATTCTTCTTGGTTGGCCTTAGTGGGTTGTTAGCAATGAAACTTCTGTTCTTAGTTGTGGTTGTAACTCAAGGACTAGTTTATTCGTGGGTGAATGTGGACTTAGGAACAATATTCTCAATCTTAATACCTGCTTTGTTTAAACTATAGTTTAAAAAGAGTCAACATTACAGGTAGCCCTCAACTTTCAATCACAATTGAGACCAACATTTCTGTTGCTAAGTGAGTCAGCATTTTTAGTGTGTTTTGCCCCCTTTCTTGCCACAGTTGTTAAGTGAATCACTGCAATTCTTACAATAGTAACATGGTTGTTAAGTGAACCTGTCTTCCCCATTGACTTGGCTCATCCGACGGTCACAAAAAGAGATCACATGGCCATGGGACATTGCCACCGTCATAAATATGAGTCAGCTGCCAAGGGCCTGAATTTTGATGCCTGTAGATGCTGCAACTGTCGTAAGTGTGAAACATGGTCATGGGTCACTTTTTTCAGTGTGCCATGATCATTTTGAATGGTCACTAAATGAATAATAGTGGCTAAGGGAAGACGGCTTTGGGAAATGCATGTATGTGAGGCAGAGGGAGGTAAATATTGATCTAATTTGAATGGGATTGGCCAGGTGGTGACCTTTTGGGTCAGAAGGTAAAATGATCTGGTAGCTTTTTGAAAAGAGATCTTGTCCTCCTAGCCAAGATGCAAATCAATTATTTAGTTGTGTCAGGCCAGGCAAAAGTCTATTGCTGGCGTGCAAATGAGCTGCACTCAACTTTTTGGTGTGTGAAAAGGAAGGGCAACACCCTTGGTGGACAGGTAAGAGAGGATCTGGGTGTCTTATCATTTCAGGGGTGCAAAATTGCACCTCCCCAAGATTTCTCAGTGTGGAATTCCAGAAGATTCTGGAAGCTGAAATCTAGCAGCGTCGGAAGGCGCCACCTTAGGAATGGCTGGTTGGCATCTTTGGGCAAAACTCCTGTGCAAAAATGGGGACAGCAGCTGCCCGTGGTTGTCTAGCCACATCCGTTCACACAACCATTTTGGGTACAACAGATTCCAAGTGTGAAATCCAGCATCTTAAACCACAATATGGTTTACAGGTAGTTCTCGACTTAGGACCACAGTTGTCTGGAACCAGAAAAAAAAAACCAAAAAAACACAGTGCCGTTGTAACTTCAAATGAAAGGTTGCAAGCCAAGGACTACGTGGCATGAGTTTGAGCCTAAGGTGTTTTAGCCTGCCTGCAGTTGGTTTTATGTGAATTTGGGGTCCAGGATAGTTTCAAAGAGGGAAATAGTCTATCCATCTACTGGTAGTAAGTGAATAGGGTAACATGGTTTCTTAAAGAGCCAGAGATAGCTGGATGAGATAAAATTTAGTTCAACCTAAAAAGAAATGATTAGGTCCAACCTGGCTATTGGCTTCTTTTTTATTTCTACCACTCCCCTTGCTTCCATCCTACTACTACTACTAGTACCGTACTACTACTACTATTCTTGTTGTCTTCCTCCTCCTCTTTTTCTTCTTCTTACTCCTCCTTGCCTTCTTCCTCTTCTTCCTCTCTTCTCTTCCTTCTCCTCCTTCTCTTCTTCTTTTTCCTCTTCTCTTCAACTTCATCTTCCTCCTTCCCCTCCGCTTTCTCCTCTTCTCCTTCCGTCCACCTCCTCTTTGTCCTTTTCTTTCTCCACTTCCTTCTCCTTCTTTTCCTCCTCCTCTTCCTCTCCTCTTAATTTCCCCCTCCTCCTCCCCTCCTCTCCCCCCCAAGTTGCTTCCTGCATGGTCAATGCCATCGGGTTTCAGAGAGAGATCCTTCCCACTCTGCCCACTTAATCTGTCCAGCTCATCCTTGCTCCCTTACTTTTTTTTAATGCAACAGATCCAACATTTCTCTGACTGGAATCCCAAGCCGCCATCTAGATGTGAATTTGGAGTCTGACTCTTGGGTGGAGTAAAGCTGAAAAGAAGACAGCCGTGACCATCACAGATCCTTGAAGTACAATCTCACTGAATTCAACACTTCTCCAATCTTCCCAGGGCAAATGCAAGGACTTGGGCCAACTGGATAGACCCTCTTGAACACATCTGTGAGTCCAGAGTGCCTCCATTATTGTAAATCTCACCTTCCTGCATTATAGCCTCCTATGATGGGAGGAGCGATCTGCTCACCCTTGGTGGAGATCTGGGATGTGACCAACAAGTCAACGTCCTCCAGTTCATTGGAGCTCTGTAATTTCTCCGAGGGAAAACCTAGCTGGACGTCTCCTTCTTCCAATGGATCTTCTGGTCCTTCAGGATCTGTGGTTGACATCATCAAAGAAGAGAGGCTGCTGGCTTCATCTTCTCAACAGACTGGCTCCAACCCAACATTGACAAAGATTCCTGGATTCACTTAGAGGTGGATTACAATGGCACTAACCTGGTTGCCCTCTGAATACCTCAACTCAATACTTCAACTCCCAGAATGCCTTAGACCAGAGTTTCTCAACCTTGGCAACTTGAGGACATGTTTGACTTCAACTCCCAGAATTCCTCAGCCAAGCTGGGGAATTCTGGGAGTTGGAGCCCATGTGTCTTATGAGAAACATTGCCTTGGACCATTGTTTAGAACTGCAAAGACATATTTTCAATATTATGTAATTGTATGGGTGGTGGTAGTCAAAGAGGGGGATATATCCCTTACAGAGGTGGTCTTCATCAGGTTCTGACCAGTTCTGGAGAACCAGTAGCAGAAATTTTGAGTAGCTCGGAGAACCGGGAAATGCCACCTCTAACTGGCCCCACCCCCTTATATTCTCTGCCTCTCGAGTCCCAGCTGATTGGCTGGGTCTCCTTTGGTTGCCCTGCACAAGAGAACGGAGCTGGAAAGCAGGTTAGTGGGGTGGGGAGGGAATAGGATTTTGCAGTAACCTTCCCCCTGGAGTGGGGAGGGAATGGAGATTTTACAATATCCTTCCTCTGCCACGTCCACTAAGCCACGCCCACAAAAGCGGTAGTAAAAAAAAAAAATGAATCCCACCTCTGATCCCTTACTTAAAATATCAGGGTTTTTTCTTTCTTTATTTCTGGTAGTAAGAAATGCGGCATTAACACAGTTTATATGGAATTTTTTCTTACCACCAGGGGGCAGCATGAACAAGTGCTTTAAAAATCCTTACTCCCTTTGGTAATGACCTAATCGTACCTGATTCATCGATTAAAAACTAATTATTCTTAATTCATGCCTCGGTGTCACCAAATGAGCATAGATTCCAGAAAAACGGGTCTGTTCAGCTAAACACCTCCTGCATTTTCATACTGTGATGGTACTTGGGGCAAAAAATAGGCTGCCTAGGAAACGATCGGATAAGAGAGGGCAGAGAGGCAGTCCTCGGCTTGCGACCACAAATGGAAGCAGAATTGCCATAGCTAAGGAAGGCCGTTGTTATTTCATGTCATTTCCCCCCCATGGTCGTTTAGAAAATCACTGAAGTCGTTAAATGCAGTTGGCAATCACGTGACCTGGGGATGCTGTGTGCAACAGTCATAAGTTTGAGGATCGGTTGTACGCCACTTGATTGGTGCTGTTCTAACTTTCGACAATCACTTAAGAAATGGGTGCAAGTCTACCCACGTCCCTTTAAGGAGACATGCTCTGTAATAACTGAATGAAAGGATCCCACTTTAATTTGTTTCATTTGGCATCTACTCCCGAACAACAATTCTTCTGTACCAAATAAAGGACATCAGAAAATCAGAATAACAGAGTTGGAAGGGACCTTGGAGGTCTTCTAGTCCAGCAGGAGACCGTATACTATTCCAGACAAATGACTGTCTGGTCTCTTCTTAAAAACCTCCAGTTTTGGAGCCTCCACAACTTCTGAAGGCAAGTCGATCCACTGGATTATTGTTCTCGCTCAGGAAATTTCTCCTTAATTCCAGGTTGCTTCTCTCCTTGTTTAGTTTCCATCCATCAGTTTCTTGTCGTGCCCTCTGGTGCTTTGGTGAATAGGTTGACTTGTGTCTTCTTTGGGGGCAGCCTCTCAACTACCGGAAGACTGTTATCCTGTCACTCCTGGTCCTTCTCTTCATTAGTCTAGACTAGTTCCTCTAACCGTTCATCGTAGGGTTTAGCCTCCATCTGGGCCGCTCTTCTCTTTGCAAAGCTCTACATCTGGCGTAACTCAGAGGTTACCTTCCCTGGTCACAGTTGGGTAGCCCGCCAGGGTCTTCATCTCCAATTGGATGGAGCACACCAAGCTTAAGACCCTTCCCAGGCAAAGGTTCCCCAGCTTGGCCCCTTGTGTTTGAGGGTTGGCCCTGACATCAGCCCTGCTTGGTAGAAGACTTCCTGTTTACAATACCAGGAGTGGAACCAGAACAGCTGGTGAGAAGGGAAGTGGGAAGCAAGCTGGATTGAGTCTCAGCGTCCATGGCTCCAGCTTAGAGGGATCATCTCTCCGGCTTCCCCTTCCACTAGGCCTCTTTCTAGCTGCTGTTGTGTTTGGAGACACAACTAAGGATTTGTTTATCTTTTTAAGAAAGTTTTACATAAGCAAATCCAGTGGGCTAAGCCCTGGGAAAGGGGGCCATCTGTATGCTCCAAGCAACAACAAAGAAGCCACCATGAATTTTTTTCAGCTGCTGCTATTGCAGGGGTCTCCAAACTTGACCAAGAGCCTTCCCAAGAACTTCAATAGCTCAGGGGTCTTTAAGACTTGTGGACTTCAACGGCCAGAAATCTGGCGGGGGAATTCTGGGAATTGAAGTCTGCAAGTCTTAAAAGTGCCCAAGGTTGGACACCCCTGGTCTACGCCAACTTTTACGAGGGCTCCCTCCTGCCCCGACATTGAACAAGATGGAAACTCATGGCCCGTGGCCAAACCTCCAAAAGAAGACATAGCAAAGACACCTTAGAATGCCAGGTAAAGGTGTGTCCCCTGTGTTGGCTTTCCAACAACCATGCCAACAATTGAATTAGCATTTTTGGACGCTGCTTTTGTGAAAAGACATGCCCAAACAAGAAAGAAAAGCCCGATTGCCAGAAATAAAGATGGCATCATGCGTTTTTACCTGATCACCCTTCTGTAATTTCAACACGTTGCTTCCAATAATTCAGAGGAGGGTTTGTCCAGGAGCATCTGCAGAAATGGGGTGACTCTTGGCTGTTTCCTCATCAAACCTCATTAGGAAATTACTCCCTTTCCACTCAGTCCATAAAAGGGAATTATGAGCTGGGCAATACATCTCCCTATATTGCAAAAATACATATAAATAAATAAAACCCAGACAAAATCCATGTAAACCACGAAGTGTTCAGCCAGACAAGCTCAATAGGCAGCTATTGTGGCTTATTTTCTGACCTGGTTTGGCACGTTATGTGAATGGGGCGGGGCTCAAGGAAACTGCATTGTGAAATCAGGAATTTCCTTGTCCTTTACTGGGGAGAAGGTTTAAGTAAAGGCTGCTTATTCCTCCCTCTCAACATTGTGGAACTCTGTAGCTGGATTACCCACCTTAGCATTCGTTGGTTGCGTGACTGCAGCCACTCTGCTTTGAAAACTTACAGGGGAAGCTGATGATACTGACATGGCATGGTGCACTGATGTTGCTACCTAGTTTGGTCAGGAGAGGTCTGCAAGAAAACCACCAGACTCAGAGACCACCAAGGACCCCATCATTCAACCCTGAGATACAAATATTCTGTCATTAAGAAGCACACTTCAACAAACTCTGGTTTAGCACCCTACCAAATCTTTCTGAGTCTTTTCTGTTGCACAAAACCCACAATAAGCCCTTATTGATGGTTTCCACCTCACGGGGGTGTTGGTGGGGGGACTAATGTCAGTCAAACAAAGCCACCTCAGTGCTTAGGGTGCCAATAGAACCCCGATTTGAATCACTCAGAGTAGAAGGGTCCCTGGAGGTCTTCTAGTCCAGCCCCCTGCCCAAGCAGGAAACTGTACCATTTCAGACAAACGATTTCCATCCATCGTTTCTTATCCTGCTTTCTGGGGCTTTGCAGAATAGCTTGACCCCCTCTTCTTTGGGGCAGCCCCACAAATACTGGAATACCGCTTATTGTGTCCCCCCTTTGTCCTTCTTTTTCTCTAGAGTAGCAACCCTTCTTCATCTGTTTTTGTCTCCAGGCCTTTAATCACCTTAGTTGCCCTTCTTTGAACTTTCCCACCCACCGACCCTCGCGAAGTCTCCGCATCTGTTTTGCAAACGCGGTGACCAAAAACGTTCTTTTTAAGGCGTCACAACGACGCGAAAGTGGCTCGCTTCGGTTGTAAGTGGCGGCAAAGGAGGGCTGATCCCCCCCCCCCCCCACCCCCCCCCCCCCCCCCCCCCCCCCCCCCCCCAGCAGACCCACCCCTTCTTCATCGCCGGCCTATATAGTCCGTGCCAGAACGCGTAAGGAAACAGTCCTTTCTCTCCGGCGTTGCCAAAATGATGCAAAACGAGGTCTTCGCGTCTTTCCTTTTCTTCGCTACGCTTTTGATCTTGAAGATGTTCGCCGTGGCCATCCTCACGGGGCAAGTCAGACTTCGGAGAAAGGCAAGGCAAAAGGGGAGGCTTGGGACCGTCGGTGGCGGGGAAGGCGGGGGGGGCGTGGGAAGCAGCCAAAGGAAGTTTCCTTTCCTTGCAAAGTCTCTTTTTAGAAGAGGAGAAAAGGACGAATTTCGCTCTTGCAGCATCACCGCTTGGACGTCAACTAACCAGCTTTGCGGGGGGGGGCGTGTTTTGGGGAGAACGGAGACGGGGTGCAGGAGGTAACCACGTTTGAGAGGGCTTCTGGCTGGCTTTAGGGTTCCAGAGCCCATTATCCTCAGCGGAGCTTTTCAGAAGAAGCTAAGGACTTTCCCAGGGAAGGCTGCAAACACATGGCAACGTTTTTTCTAGAAGGCGCAGTTGAAAGGAATATTTGAGGCTTTTAAAATATGGGGATTTTATTTTTTAGGAAAATATTGTTTTAGGATCCACCCAAGAGGTTCGAGGTTTTTGGCTCATGCTGGAGAGCCCATCCTTGGGGGAATTGTGTACTCTGGGCTGTTTTCTGTGTGTGGTGTTGATATGGTGGCTATTGTGTGAAGCGATTTAGATTGGGGTGTTGATGCTGGCTTATGGTTATAGTATTTATAAGCCGGCTATTAAGCCACCATATCAATACCACACTCAGAATAGCCCAAGATACATAGAGAAGTTTCCAGAGGATGGGCTCCAGGGTGAACCCCAAAACTTGGCAAAATAAATCTCAGGTACCCCATGACCAACCCAGATTGGATCCTGCAACGTTATCCTGGGACATGTGTATTCATTGGTGAATGTTGTTTTAGTACATTGCTCTGTAATTAAAGGAAAAATGATTAGATACCTGGAGAAAATTGGAATATTAGATATGTTTGCGACTTTGTTATTTATAAAAAATAAATAAAGGTGGAAGATGATTTGGGTTGCATCACTTTTCATAAGTTGAAACTTCTTGAAAACAATATTTTGGCTTTATGGGTGGATATCTTAGAAGTTTGTCACTTTGGGACTAAATATTGGTGAGCCAAATGATACATGGTTTAAAAATTAAGACAATATTTTTCCATTGAGTAAGGATTATATGATTTTTTTTAATTTCATGCATACAACTTCTTATGCAGAAAAAAAATAGTGCTGTGAAGGGAAAAACTGAATATATTTTGGTTACTGCCAGACCGAGTTAAAAAAAAATCTATGTGATATCTATTGGAATTGATACAAAATCAATGCAGTCTTTAAGTTTATCATTAGACCACATATAACAAAGTTAGAGCTGGAAGGGACCTTGGAGGTCTTCTAGTCGAGCCCCCTGCTCAGACAGATTCTATATTATTTCAGACAAATGGTTGTCCAATCTCTTTTTAAAAACCTCCAGTGATGGAGAACCTACAATTTCTGGAAGGAAATTCCAATGGTTCATTGTTCTCACTGTTAGGAAATTTTATGTGAGATGCCCAATTCCATTTTACGGGAGTACAGCTCCACATTGCATTATAATCAACTGTAATATTCTAAAATGGGATTGTGGTGTGTAAATGATTGGAAGTTAGAGCCAAGCTGGATAAGACCAGATCCCAGAGCCTTTTTTTTTTTTTTTAAATTTCTAACAACGCCAGCACATAAAAGAAACACGATAGCTTTTTTTAAAAAACGCTGTGTTTGGGGATTAAATAGAAGGCCAGGTGCATAGCTCCATGGCACACCCGACAGAAAAATTGTGTCATTTTAAAAAAAAACAACGTGTTCATGCCTGGATTTCGGCAGGGAGGAATCTGTATTCTGTTTAAATGGGGTATTTGGCATTTGACACGGAAATGTCTAAATTCAGCCCTAGGGGTCACCAGGCCATTAAATCTTGATCGCTCTGGATCTCCAGTCATGGAGCACCTATCACTTCTGAAAAACAAAGTTGTTCCACTGGTTAATTGTTTTCACTCTCAGGAAATTCCTCCTTACTTCCAGGTGGCCTTTCTCCTTAATTAGTTTCCATCCCTTGCTTTCTTGTCCTGCCTTTTGGTGCTTTGGAAAATGGGTTGACACCACCACCAAGGGGGCATTTGGCAGCCCCTCAAATATCGGAACACTGCCATCAAATCCAAAAAACCCAACACAGCAATGAAGTTTTATTAAATGCATAGAGTGAGCCCGTGTTTTACCATCCTAGCAACCTTAAGAGAGAGGTGGACTTCAACTCCCAGAATTCCCCAGAATGTAACCCTGTTAAAAGTCTTGGCCGACACAGATGTCATCTTAGCTCCAGTATTAAATGTAAACCTGACCATCAAGATTTCCCCTCCATGGTTGATGCCAACATTGAAATTACATCATGGGTGGTGTAATGGGAATTTTTTTAAAAAAATTGGGGATTGCACAACATTTTCAAATATTGGATTATTATTTTTTTAAAGTGTTGAAACATGGGATATTCAAATAGTTTTCTTGGAAAAATGTTACAAGGGGGTGACACCGGTTGACGTCAATGCTTTTGCAATCCTGCCTTATTTTTTCTTTAATAAGCAGCTGTTTTGAAGTGTTAGGAAGGGTTGTAGGATTTGAAGGTCACCAAAAACGAGCCATGGCTGCTGTTGAGGGGTGGGGAGTTTACGCAGGTCTGCAGAGAAGCCAATAATCCTTCATAGCAAGAGAATATAATCCCCCCCCCCCCAGCCTGTTTTTTCAAGATTCATAATCCATGAAGGTTTTAAAGCAGGCAGGAGGAGGAACTGTTTATCTTTTGCAAGCAAAGTTATGGCTTCTCTTGAGCTCTCTTGTAAAAAAAGAAAACTTGGCTCATGCCAGAGAGTATTCAATTGAGTGAAATAGAGTTGGGGTTGGTAGGTCATCCATCTCTGGAGGTCTTTACAGGGAAGATGGTTCCTTCAAGGGTGGTTTAATTGGTTGTCCTACACACTGCAGAGGCTAGAGTGATATTTCTCAGTCTTGGGATTGGAAGATTTTGGGGGATGCCCACGACCCTGAGGGGGTCTCAGGCCTGCCCTAAACCATAGCAGACAAGCTACAATTGAACCCCAGCCTAGATAAACCACCTTTATCTAGGCTTAGGGCAAAGTCTTGTTAGAAGGTCAAAACTGGCTTGTAGAACATGAATAAATGGTATGAGAACTTCTCCTTGGATGAAGGTATTCAGTTACCCAGGTCCTAGTGCTTTTTTTTTTTTTTTTTTGTCAAAAGGCAACTGGGCCAGTTTTTTTTTCAGGAAAAAGAAGAAGATGCTTTGCTTCTCATCCAAGAAGCCATCCGTTGTGGTTGGATGAATGTTCTCCTTGGATGTTCATTGTCTTCTCTTTCTGGCCCTTTCCAGGCATTTGCCAACCCTGAGGACGCGCTGAAACATGGTGGCTTGGAGTTCCACAGAGAAGACCCCTATGTGCAGAGGTGCCTCAGGTAAGTCATCCTGGGGGATCAGCCATGGTCAGCTCAGCAAGGTAGACCAGACGAAGAAACAGGAGCCATGTAGGTCTACAACTACTTTGATTAGAATAGCTCTAGTGACAGAACCTTGCAAGCCGAATAGGTTTCTCTCCTCTCCTTGCTCCTCTTCTATCCTCTTCTTCTCCTCACTCCTCTCCTCCTCACTCTTCTCTTCTCCTCGCTCCTATTTTCTCTCCTCAATCCTCTCTTCTCTCTTCTTTTCCTCTCTTCTCTCCTCTTCTCCTCACTCCTCTCTTCTCTCTTCTTCTCACTCTTCTCTTCTTCTCTTCTCTTCTTCTCCTCACTCTCTTCCTCTCATTCAGCATGTCACCACTATGCTATGGATCTGGTTTTCCTTGGGAGAAGGATCCTTCTCACCTCCACCCTCCATCAAATTAACCAAGGATAATATTGCTGGCCAATTCTATCAAGCCAGTTTTGACCTTCTAGCAAGACTTTGCCCTAAACCCAAAAGTGGTTTATCTAGGCTGGGGCTCAATTGTAGCTTGTCTGTTGTGGTTTAAGGCAGGCCTGAGACCTCCTCAGGGCTGTGGGCATCCCCCAAATCTTTTGAGAAGGTCTCCAGAACCTTCCCTCATCGCTGGAGCTGTGTCCCATCTTTTCAAAGCAAACATTTGCGTGCCAGACATGCCTAATAAACTTTTGATTTATCTGAAAAGGGAGATTGCTTTTCCTTTTAAAGAGCAGGATAGCCTTGCATTCCATAGGGATGTGAATCATGTGGTTAATTTGGCAATCTTCCTCCTGCCAATTAATCAGTCCGAATTCCCACATATATATTCCCCTTAGAGTGATTTTTTTTTGTGGTTATTATTATTATTCAACCCCGGTAGAAAGAATCAGAGTTCCCCTGATGTAAACACATCCTGCCTTGTGCAATTTCAAACTTGTAAACCTCTCCTTTCCTGAGTGAGAGTGGCAATGATAAGATGGAGCTAAAAAGGAATGTAGACCCAAGTGCCAAACAGGGATGGGCGTTGAGTTCGAGAAGCATGCAATCCAGGTGAAGAAAGCATTTTTCCCCCTCACCTGGCATTCTTCACCTGGTTCTTTAGCAGGACAGAGGTCTCTTGTACATCTGGGTGGCATTTTATGTTCTTTGGCAAAACTGCTTAGGAAATAGGGCTTTGCTGTGAGGAATGCCTCTCCTTGTTCCACCCTGATAGGCCATTCGTGGTCTGTTGCACCAGAAAGAATTGGAAGGGTCCTTGGAGATCAACTAGTCCAAGCAGGAGACCCTATAGCATTCTGGACATATGACTGTCCAATCTCTTCTTGAAAACCTCCAGTGATGGAGGACCCACAATTTCTGAAGGGAAGCCTGTTCCACTGACTAATTGTTCTGTCAGGAAATTCCTCCTTAATCCTAAATTAGATCTCTCTTTGATGAGCCTCCATCCATCACTTCTTGTCCTGCCTTCAGGTTCTCTGGAGAATAGACAGACCTCTTTTCTGTGACAGCCCCTCAAATATTGGAAGATGCCATCATGCCATCCTTTTCTTCATTCGTCTACACCTATTATGTGGTTCCCTCAACCAATCATTGTATAATTTAGCTTCCAATCCCTACATCATCTTTGTTGCTCTTCTGTGCATTCTTTCTAGGGTCTCAATTTTTATTTTTATTTTTTTGGTATCAGAGTGACTAAAACTGGATGCAGTATTCCACATGTGATCTCACCAATGCTGTATAAAGTTGTACTATCACTTCTTATGATCTTGATGCCGTCCTTCTGTCGATGCAGCCTAGAACTGTGTTGGCCTTTTTAGCAGCTGCAGCACACTGCTGGCTCATGTTTAAGCGATTGTCCACTAGGACTCCGAGATCCCTCTCACAGTTATTACTATTGAGCCAAGTCCCACTTATACTATATCTGTACATTTGGTTTTTCTTGCCCAAGTGTAAACCTTAAACACTTCAATCCTCAACCAGCAGGATAATCTTGATTTCTCCAGGCAAGAGAAAGGAATTTGATTCAGGGAGGAAGCAACCTTTGTTTATTTAACTTTTGAAAACACCCACATTATTTCTCCTCCTAGCTTCTTATTTCAGCCAATGCTGTAAAAAAAAAAATTGTTTGTTCTAGCTTAGGCACTCCAGAGAAAGCGATGGAGATTTGGGGAGATTTACAACATATTGTTTGCTTTGAAGCTTAAAAAGTTGGCTCCAGATTGTAAGCAAAAAAAAAAAGAAGGATTTTTCAGCTTGGTCAGTTAGCAAACTCGGCCTCCACATCTGAGGGCTGGCTGGCATTCATCCAGAACTGGAGGTATTTCGCTGGATGGCCCATTTATTTATTTTTTTTGCAAAGCTGAGGAAAGACTCGATGGAAAAAGATGGAAAAAGAAATACCTTTTAAATTGAAGCTTCATTGCCATTCAGTGAATTGATTACAATTAATGGGATTCCTTCCAGCGTGTTTAATTGTGTTTTCTGCAGCCTGGGAGTTCTGGTTGAAGTGGGTGGGTTGGCAAACCCTGAGAAGGAACTCGGACATCTGTCCAAGAATTGTAGAACCAAAGGGCTGGAAGGGACCTTGGAGGAATCAAGAGAACAAGAAGGAACTGAATGGCCTGCCCATCAGAAAAAAAAGAGAAAGTTGAGGTAGACAATTTAATGACTGAAGTCCAAAGGCCTTGGTTGGTGAAGCGATTGAGTTGTCCTTCTATATTTCTGATGTGTTGCGGTTTTCCTTTGTTACAATCTCCATGTCACCCACTTAAGAACTTGTCTTAACTCATTCCTGCTTCCCCAGTATTTCCTCCCTGCCTTGAGGGCCAAAGAATGATTTACACTCTGAATTTCCTAGCCAAAGAGGGCAGAGTTGCTCTAAAGTATAATACCTAGGCAAGAAATCCCTTAATTGGGTCATCAGAAGGTTAATCTTCAACATCACCAACAAAATAGCTCAGTCTGAGTTGTGTTTATGCCCTAGGCTGAAATATGGGCAGGAAGTAGCTGAAGTTGGGTGCCTTAGGTCATAACCTTGTCTTGTTTATATAATCTCCTTTTAACAACTTTGGGGTATGGCCAAGGGGTGTGTGTGTGTGTGTGTGTGTGTGTACATGAACGAGACCCAAATGGATGGAGAGCACCATTGTGGTAGCACACACTTTTTTTTTTGCCTCTTTGCAAATGAGAAACGGTGGGGATGGAATCCAGATGTGGGTGTCATTCAATGCAAGCTACAGTTGGGGAGGTGCTTTTGGCCTTGAGTCCTTCCCTTGACGTTGAAGCTAGAGAGTTGAGGAGCTTCTTTTGACCTCAAGCCATTCTTGAAGATGAGACTCTTGGCCAACCCTACATGTTCATGGGTAAACAAAACCCATTTCAGAGGGATTTCTAATTGCCAAGGCTCCATTCAAGTGGATTTACAGTGTGTCCATCTGTCTTGCAATAAAAACAGTGGATTACAGCTGTCAGCTTTTGCCTTAGATGCAGCCCATGAGCTACAGAGAGACTTATGTAAAAAGCCCAGCCCCAGTTCTGACCTCTGGGAAGGATTTGCATGGCTGATATAATGTAGATGGCAGGTATGTAAAGATTGTTTGTGGAAGTTGTGAGAGAGGAAAGTACAGCCAATCCTTGACTTGCAGCCATTTTGTTTAGTGATTGCTTGAAATTACAGCGGACCTAAAGAAAGTGGCTTATGAACCATTTTCCACATGGTGGGAAACTGACTGTTGCAGCATTTTAATATATAAAATGAGAGTAAACTCCACTCCCTTGTTGCCTAGTTGGGTAATGAAATGTCTGCAAGAAAACAACCGAGTGCAGAGAATGTCAAGGAACCCACAGTCCTCCTCCCCCCCACACACAAACCCCACTCCCTTCTACCGTAGCACTGATGATGTTACCGAGTTTGGCAATAAAACACCTGCAAGAAAACAACCAAGCTCAGAGAGCACCAAAGACCCCTCATTTCAAGCCCAAGCTGCAAACATTCTCCTTTATGCGAATGGTCATTAAGCAAATAGATGCAAGTTGAGGACTACCTTGCCCTCTGTTGCTGGCTGTCTTCCATAAATCATGATTACACAAGCCACGTCTTTGTCGAATGTGTAAAACCAGTTAGAGGTATGGACTACAGGCTACAACTCACAAATTAGGTGCAAGATTCATTTCGGACTGCAGCTGACTCGGGTTAGATGGGATTTTCCACTAGTTCAAGGCAAAGATGAAATTTTTTTTTTTAAAGATGTTTGTCGTCTTTTTTTTTTTGCAAAACCAGCCAACCGTATCTTTGCTGGGAAACGATTCTCTTGGTGATTGTTTTTGCTCCAAGATTCCTGGCAAACCTTGTGAATTTAACTGGGGGAGCCAGTTTGATGATATTCATTGTAATGATCTGGCAGGTTTTCTGATTTGTTTTGTTTTTTTCTAATGATGTGATTAAAGTCAGTCATGGGGTTTCCAACATAGCCTCCCCACAGAATTCATTCGCTGAATAATTGGGTCTTGTATTGGAATGTTCACTCTGCAGAATCTGTGTGGTGACTTTTGCAAAGCTTCGATTTTTTTAAAGAGAGGTTTAGCATTTCACTAGTTGACTAAAAAGGAGAAGGGAATGAATTTTCTTCCAAATTAGAACTTCTCTCCCAGATCTGAATTTCTCTTCTAAATATCTGAAGATGGCCAACATTTCTCTTCTCAGTCTTCTGTCCTCCAGACTGAAACCCAAGGTCCTTCAAAAATCTTGTCCTCAGGGGTCTCCATACCCATCTCTGACACGCTCCTCTGAATCCATGGAGATTCTCCATCATCCAGGTCTTGGTTGTCCCAAAGGTGCTTTTTCAAAAAGGCAACTGGACATCTTTGTTTTTACTTTAAGTTGTTTCGTTTCCCACCCAAGAAATTCCAGTTCATCATTCTTCAGTTTAGAACCGAAGAAGCTTCTCGGATGAGAAGCAGAACATCTTCAAGCAAAAAACGAAGATGTCCAGTTGCCTCTTGAAAAAAAAAGCACCTTTGGGACTCCTCTGAATCTGTTCTATCCTGTCCATCATCTTCTGGGACCCCCATAATAGCATCCAGAGAAGCCCAGGTGAGTCTTCCCGATGTTGGGTCTAAAGGACTAACCATGGTCATGTTCTTCTTCTGTGTCCTTGTCTCCAGAGTTCATCGCAACGATATGGAAACCATCTTCCCGTTTCTGTTCATTGGGGCCGTCTATAGCTTCCTGCATCCCAATCCACTGGTGGCTCGGATCCACTTTCTGATTTTCTTCCTCGGCCGGATGGTTCACACCGTGGCGTATCTCCTGAAGCTGAGACCTCCCATCCGGTCCGTGGCCTACAGCGTGGCTCAGATTCCATGTTTCTCCATGGCCTTGCAGATCCTCATTTCGGTGATCCGACGTTAGTGGCCATCAGTGGCCTTCGTCTCCAGTGGGCCTTGCGTGATGTGAAATGGAGGACGTGAAGGGATAGCAAGAATCCAAATGGAGGGAATCAATGCTTCACCCTAGGGCTGAGTTAACCAGTTCTGGCTTCTCTCTTAGGAGAACAAGACTATAATGGATGGATTTCTTATCTCCTGATCTCTTGCTTGTAAGGGGCGGATGATACTTTTGCAAGGGCCAGGTTGGCTTGGGAGAACTTGGAAGATGTGGGCAATCCAGAAGCATCACAACTTGGGTGGGTGTGAGTGGAAAGAGTTTTTCCTGCATCAGTTGAAGGATGAAATACTTTTCTCATCTAGATGGCCACCTAACTTCAGCTGAAATCTCTTGGGATGCCCATTCCAGTTACGAGATGTTCAGAGTCCAGCATGGGTTGAGTTATGGACATGACTGTTAATCTTCACACCGTTTGTAATTGAACAAATAAAAACAAAATTAAAGCTTTCTTAAATAAGCTTTGCAGTTGGTGGAGAGTTTCTTTCAACTGTGTACGAAACTCCTGGTTTCAGATTAAATTTTTCTTAACCCTCTCAAACTTTCATCATGCTATGTCTGGAGGCTCTTCAGATTGGAATTGTTCAGTTCCCAGAATTCCTCAGTCGGGGCAGACACTGCTGAGAATTCTGGGAGTTGTAGGAGATCCTTCAGATGCATAGATTTCAAAATACAGATTATCAGATTCTCATTAAATGTTAAGGGGGAAAAAATGTCTAGGCGGAAAAACAGTTAGATGGTGGAACCAATGGCCCACAAGGGTAACTTCAAGGTTGGGTGAATTCATGCTGGGGCAGGACAGCTATTTCTCAGAAAGTCTTGAATTCTTTCCCTGAGTAGCAGGTCGTGGCGGAAATCCTCTTCCAACTCTGTGAACAAGTGTTTACAATGTGTGTAGGTACTGCTACTTGTTGTAGCTGTTTTACCACGCTTCTGTACCTCACCAAGGTCACAAGTGGCATCATCACCCTGCCAAAACATCTAAAAAAAAAAAAACTAAGCACAGTTAGAAGTTGAATGGGAGACCACTCAGAGATCTCTAGCTATTGCCACTCAGCGATGGAACCTTTCGTTGATTCATCAGCCTCTCTGCTCGCAGGACCTCCTGGCTGCTCATCCATCTGCGCCAAGCACTTCATGGGGAAAACGGGGTTGTGGGTTTCCCAAGAGAATGTGCGGAGTTCAAAGCAAATCTAAAGTAAAAGAGAGCAGGAAGTGAAAGCCCAGAAACCAAATTAACCATGCTTCTAATTTATTTTTTGAGTAAAGTGTCTTACCTGTATGTCAATGAAGATTCTGAGTCATCCAGGTAAAGTTCCCGAGAACTTTGAGCCTTCTTTAAAAAAATAAAAATAAAAGTCCACTTGCCATGACTCAACTTCCAGATTTCTCACCTTTCATTGCCCCTCCCTGAATAAAGTGAATGAGCTGGAAGGGACCTTGGAGGTCTTCTAGTCCAGCAGGAGAGCTTATAGTATTTCAGAGAAGTGGCTGTCTAGACTCTTCTTAAAAACATCCACTGGTTAATGTGGAAGGATCTTCACGAGAGGAAAATCCCTAAAATAAACACACACTTAGAAATGATTCTGTATCGTTTTTGCTGGCTGCAAAAATTATTCTGAAATGTTCATTTTATGCATTTGATGTTACAGCACTGCCCTCTAGCGTCTCTTTCTATCTATAGCTGGCTACGGTAGAGATAATTTTATTTTTTTACTGGCAATGCCAAGTCACATTTTAGTTATAGATCATTCCCAGAAACCAGTCTTGGATTCGAGAAATGGACTGGTAGAAATTATCCTATACGATCACAAAAAGAGCCTGGCTAGAAAACCAAGAGACGGTGAGTTCTAGTCCTGCCTTAGCCATGAAAGCCAGCTCGGTGATTTTGAACCAGTCCCTCTCTCTCTCTCTCTCCCTCTCAGTCCAGCCCACCTCACAGGGTTGTTGTTGTGGGGGGGGGGGGAAATAGGAGGAGAAGGCATGTTGGATATGTTCACTGCCGTGAGTTATTTGTAAAAATAATAAAAAGGCAGATGCAAATAAATTAAAAATAAAAACACCCCAATGCACAGGTGTGGAATGGGATGGGGAAAAAAAAAAGCACTATATAAGACTGGGTTTTCAGATTTTTATTTTTGTAGGGACTGGGTGGGCAAAAGAAACAGGCTCAATTTTGTTCCAAGGGTTGAGTTTTCCACTACAAGTTCCCTTCTGAAAGGAATTTCCAGAGCAAAACTTGGGATCCTGTTTGAAACGGGGTCATCAGGGGCCATATACTCCTTTGATTGGGGTGGGCGGTATTGGGGGAAAGTGGACTATTCCTTTCATCGGGAGATTCTGGGAGATCGAAATAACCTATGGCCAAAATTGGGACTGGAGCTTCAAGCCCTCAAGTGATGGGCCCGTTCAATGAGTCGTTCCCAATCTTATGACCTACCTTGGCATGGTGGTTAAGTGAATCATGCAGTTGTTAAATCAATCTGCCCCGTTGCTTGTCTGAATCTGTCTGGGAAGGTCATACATGGAGACCACGTGTTCCTGGGATGCTGAGACGGTCAAAAACCACATGCCAAGTGTCCGAATTTTGATCCCATGATCATGCGGGCACCACAGCTGTGTGAAAAGTCACAAGTCACCTTTTTTTCCAGCCCCGTCATCAGCTTGAAACGGATGGCCATACATTGAGGACTACCTTATGGGAATTCCAGGGAATGGAAACGGATGAACCAGCTTACTGGAATGTGACGTGTTTCTCACAAAGACAGAAACAGAATGACAACCACCCCAAATTTGGGGCAACATGTAATCCCAGCAAAATCCTCCTTAATATGTACCTTCCACCCTCCACCCTCCCAGCTGAGCCAAGCTGGAGAGAAGTAAAACAGAGCAAGGGTTATGGGAATGCAAAGCTGATATTGCAAAGGGAATGATTTAATTGCAGCCCCCGGCCCCATTTTTTTTCTACATCGCCCCCCATCCCTCCTCAGCTGCCCATCTTTCACCACTAAAATTCAATGTCTTTTTTTTCCTCTTTTTTTCAATCTCTGTTGCAAATCCACCCTCTGATTTAAGCAGCGTCCACAAATGTTTGTTTTGCAACCTGGCTTAAGTTGCAAAAACTGCCGTTCTAAAGGACTCACAGCCATGCAATCAAACTCTTTGCTGGTTTTATCCAAGGACTGCGGGCGATCAGCTGCCGTCCCACTTTCAAACCGGTCCCTGAAGTCATTCGGGGCACATGGTGAATCAGAACAAGCGCTGTTATCGTTTGAAAGCCGAGCAGGGCCATGAATTTCCTAGACACACGTGCATTCTGCAAAGATGCACAAACTAACATGTACAGGAGAGATGTCAATTTGGAATAAAAAACTGCTCCATGCCAAATCTCAGTGGCCCCAAAGTCACCATATCCAGGCAAGGAAGAGCGAGGAGATAATCGGGGTTGAAAAGACCATGCAGTGACCAGATTATATTTGGGTTCTTGAAGCCTGTGTTCTTGAAGAGTTAGATCTTTAGGCTTTCAACTCAACCTGAAAGCTCTCTGAGGTCCATGTCTTCATTTCTGGATGGCCGCATCTTCTGGATCATTTGCTCTTCCTTGAAGAAGTCATGGTCCACCAGCATGGTCCACCAGCAAGATCCTGAAGAGGCTGCCTCCTCCCCAAGGGAGCTTCAAGAAGTTTCTCAAGTTGGTGGAAGCTGTCTCCTTTGGTCTTCAAGAGAAGGAGACATTAGGGGGCAGAGGAAGAGTTTTGAGCCCTGATGGACCATGAATATCTCCAATGTCTTGATTGGTGGAGATCGCCAGGGATGCTGTGGACAACCAAGGAAGGACGGTCACGTCAGTTCACGGTAGGTACCTGGTTCTGGTGGAGGCTGAACTCTTTGGCTTTAAGGCGCAAGCTGGCAATACTGTTGGCCATGTTGACCCCCGGCGTGGGGGTGTTGGGGGCACTGGAACCGTATGAAGGCATCGTGTTGCTGGAAGAGGCAGAGGAGATGGGAAGGAGGAGACAGGAACAAAGGAGAAGCAACAGAAAAGAAGCATTAAACATTGGAGAAGGATCAACGCTACTAATGTTAGGATAGGATGTATAGTTAGTCCTCAGCCTAAAAGCCTTTGGTTAGCGACTGTTCAAAGTTACAATGGCACTGAAAAAAAGTGGCATTTTCACACTAATGACCATTGCTGCATCCCCCAAGGTCACGTGATCAAAATTCAGACGCTTGGCATGGATTTATGACAGTTACAGTGTCCTGGGGTCATTTTGATCCCATTTTGAGGTTGTCTGACAAGCAAAGACCTTCAAGATCCTTTCCAACTCTGTTATTTTGTTAAACAACAGAATAACAGTGTTGGAAGGGAACTAAGCCGTCTTCGGTCCGATCTAAGTATAGTATATAAAATTATACATTGCAATGTCCTACCTGTCAATGAATACTTCAGCTTCAACCATAACAACGCAAGAGCACACAATAGATACAAACTCAAGGTTAACTGCACCAAACTTGATTGCAGGAAATACGACTTCAGCAACAGAGCGGTCAATGTCTGGAATACTCTACCTGACTCTGTGGTTTCTTCCCCAAACCCCAAAAACTTTAACCTTAGACTGTCTACTATTGACCTCACCCCTTTCCTAAGAGGTCTGTAGGGGGTATGTATAAGCGCACCAACGTGCCTACTGTCCCTGTCCTATTGTTTCTTTTATTTTTCTTATATGTATCCATGTATTCATAACTATGTTTTTACTTATACCTATTATCTTGTAAGCGATTGACAAACCAAATAAAATAAAATAAAAATTAACAAAATAAAAAAAAGAGAGCTTGCATTGCAAAAATGTACACTGAAAACTTTTGCGTGGAGCAAATTAACCTTTCAAAGGATGACTGTCGGGGCCAGGGATCCCTTCAAAGGGGTCTAGAAAAAAAACACCCCAGGGTGAGGCTGCCCTAAACAACAGGATTATTAACAAAGGCATAAAAAGCACAGATTTCTAGCCCTTGCATTCCGGTGGCGTGCAACGGATTGCGCTTTCTGGAGGCAGAGGATTGCTTTTCTTTTACAGCCAAGAAGTCCAGTCTAATTTTAGCTCGGAGGTTCCCCCCCCCCTTCTCCTCCTCTGCCCCAGAAGAAATGTGTTCCTTGGCCCGCAGAGCAATACAGCCTCTATTTCGCTTCCCTTCATCGGTTTGGTTAGCACTTTGAGTTGAAAGGTAACATAACATTGCGATTAGAGCTAACCTGGAGCAGGAATCGCCTGGGGGGAACCTAAGGAGTAGGGAGGGGGAGAGGGAGAGAGGGAGGAAGGAAAGGAGCTTGAACCAACCTGTAGGGGGAGGTGCTTGACCACGATAGATAGTCAGGGCTGAGCGTGGTGGGCCGGGGAGCAACGGGCTGTTCGATGGCTGTGTCTTGAGTGTAGGATTTGAGGAGCGATACTGACCGGTTGGCCAACATTGCTCTCTCGTTCCGGCGAAATTTTGCTCTTCGGTTCTGAAACCAGACCTGGAGGGGGAAGAAAGACGCAGGTAGCAATAAAGGAGAATATTTGTAGCTCAGGGTTGAACTGTGGGGTCCTGGGTACTCTCTGAGCCTGGTGTTTTTCCTGAAGACGTCTCATGACTCAACTAGGGAACGTCATCAATTCTAGAGGGGAGTGTGGAGTTTCTCCCTATTTATATACAGTAGGTCTGAGCTGGGTTGTTTTCTTGCAGATGTTTCATGACCCAACTAGGTAACATCACCAGTGCTAGAAGGAAGTAGGGTTTGTGGAGAGGGGGAGGAGGAGGATAAAAATCAGATGTGACTCACTTAACAACTGGTCCCAGTTGTGGTCATGAGGGCTACCTGTAGATGAATCCAATCGCTCTCACCTGGACTCTGGCTTCACTAAGGCTCACCCTTCGGGCCAGCTCCTCTCGGACGAAAGCATCTGGATAGTGCGTCCTTTCGAAGACTCGCTCCAGAGCTTGGAGTTGGCTGCTGTTGAATGTGGTTCGGTTTCTCCGTTGTTTCTTCTTCCTTTTAGAGGAGGAGTGGGTCGGACTCAAGCTCTGCCCTGTGATCAGAAGAGAGAGGGGGGCCAGGGAGGTTATGTAGCAGAGCTGGAAGGGGGAATTAAATGGGTCATGAGACCGGAATCATTGCATAGCTGCAAGAGACATCAAGTCCAGCCTTTCCCTCCATGAATTCCACGGAACCTTTTCTCTAGCCTCAATTTAGTTTCATTGACTACAAGCAGTCTTTAACTTACAAACATATGACCATGTGAAGTTACCACGGCATCCTTATGGTCACGTGATCAAAATTAGGTTCATATTTATGACGGTTGGAGTGTCACCTGACGAAGCGCTCCCCGGGGGGCAACTTTCTGACAAACAAAAGACCATAGAAAAGCCAGATTTACTTCACAACTGTGTGACTAAAACAACTGCAGTTAAGAAAAGTTGTAAAATGTGGACCAACGCTTAGCAACTGTCTTGCTTAGCAATGGATCTTTGGAGCTTGTTTGTGGCCGTAAGTCAAGGACTTACCTGAATTTTAATTATTTTTCTACTTGCTGTATAACTTGTAAGCTGCCTGGAGTCACCTTGTAGGAGTGATGGACAGCATAAAAAAACAACAACAAATAAATAAAAGAAGAAACACCATATTTCTCTCCGTTATGCAGAAAAAGCGAGAAAGCAAGGAATTTTTTTTTTTTCATTTTGTGCACGAATGGTGATTTTAGAAGAATTGGTTTATCTCATGAAGCTTTTTTAATTTTAACCAAGATGGTTTGTCCTTGAAAAATGCAGAAAGCTACATCTGTCTGGTAAGGACAAAGGTTTAGCAGTGTTCTAATATTGGAGGGGCTGCCACAAAGAAGAGGGGGGTCAACTTATTTTCCAAAGCCCCAGAAGGCAAGACAAAAAAGAAATGGATGGAAACTAATCAAGGAGAGAAACAACCAAGAACTAAGGAGGAATTTCCTGACAGTGAAGTCAATTAATCAGTAGAACAACTTTTTCTCCATCACTGGAGGCTTTCAAGAAGAGACCTGGACAGTCATTTGTCCGAAATAGCATAGGGTCTCCTGCATAAGCAGGGGGTTCAACTAGATGATCTCCGAAGTCTATTTTTCTATGTTCTAACCAGCAAAGCATCCTACAATCCTGCCAAAACAGATCTCAATATTCAGACTCATTTCCATCTTCTTTCAAATCCCTTCTGGGCCTCCTTTCTCTGCTTCGTATATTTTTAAATGTCTCCTGACAACACCCCATTCTAGGATCCCAGCAAATCCCACGAAATTTAGATTTTTTTTGGGGGGGGAGGGGACACTCCGCACCAGAGAAGGCCATCCCGCTGCGCCTTCATTTAAATTCTCCTCTGAAACACGAGCTGGACATTTTGCCCCAACATCTGGTTTCCATTTGGTCTCTAACGGAGGGTGGGATGGGGGGAGGAAAAAAAAAAACCCTTTATTTTGGGATGGTTTTAAAATTTGGAATACTTTTATGACAGCTGTCTGATTTGTACCAGTTACCCTGAATTCCTCTGCTATATATCAAGCTTGAGCAGTTATGATGTGGCAAAAGAAGAAAAAAAAAAAAGAAGAAGATGGGAAAAAGAAGAAAGAAAAGAAAAATCTTGCCCGCTTTGAAGAATTCCTTCATAAAAGGACCTTTGAGAATTTTGTCCGGAAACGGCACCGGAGCGATGGAAAAGGATACCAATCCAAAAAAATCTCACTTTAAAATAATCTTTGCTTTCAGTTGTTTTCTTTCTCACAGATGGATATGAAAATATGCTTCCCTCCTGCCAACATTTGGAAGTGTTTATAGGTGGTCCTCAACTTACAACCATTTAGTGACTGCTTGAAGTTATGACATCGCTGAAAAATGGGATTTACGATCGGTTGTCGTAATGATACTGGCTCTTAATGACTGGCGCAATATTCCCAGGGTCACTTGATCCAAATTCAGGTGTTGTTGTTTTTTTGTAAATTTTATTTGAGTTTTCACAAAGAAAAAGAACTTCTGCACTCTTAAACAGCACGATTGCTATTGAAAATACAGATGTACATATTCAAATTTCATAATTGTAAAAATTAATTGGACATAAGCCCAGGCTTGTGAATTATAAGGATGTCAAATTCAATTTACAGAGGAAGTAATTTTGAATTTCGGCAGTATCCCTGATTCAAAGTTAATTTTCTCTCCTTTCCATTTCCCCCTCCTTTTGTCACATCTCTCTATTCTCCCCTCCTTTTTCCCCTTTTCCCTCCCCCCCCCCTTTTTAAATATGCAGTTTAATTGAGTGGGCTGAAATAGCCTGAAGGCTATTAGTCATAAATTCTTCCGAAGAAAAATATATCCTGTCTTCTTTCTAACTTTCCTTCTTCTTTCAACAAGTCCAAGACGGATACTACTTTTCTATTGAAATAATAATTATAGCCAAGACAGCCTGGGGAGATGCAGGGACTCCTAAATCAAATAAATAGATTTTATTAATTAACACAGGTCATTCCTGGGTACCAATTTGTTCTCCGGTCTCGGAATTTAGAAAAACAAACAAGGCAGAGGTCGAGTTCTTAATGTGGATTTAACATGTTCACAGCCTTGGTCAGAGGGACGCATCAGGGGTGATTTGAGTGAGGGGGAAACACACACAAAGTTTTGCTTTCTATATGTTATTACAACTTTCCTGTTTGTGTGTAACCTTTAACTGGGTGAAAGAGTGCCTTGTAGGGCAACAATTTTGTGAAGAAGGGACCAACTAAGGGAATAACAGAATAGCAGAATGACAGCATTGGAAGGGACCTTAGAGGTATTCTAGTCTAACCCCCTACTCAAGCACGTGAGACCGCTGCGAGATTGGCTTATGCGCAACGATGGAAAGGTAAAGAAACTCCAAATGAATCAGAAATAATTAGGAAAATTTGGATGTGCGCAGAAACGGACAACTTGACAAAGGAATTAAAAAATAAGGACGAATCGGATTACTGCAAAAGATGGGACAAGTTTTATGGTTGGTTAGAAAAGAGGAAGGATCAAGACAATAAGAAAGGATTAAATGTGTGTGTGTGTGTATACATATATATTGTACTGTATGTATATTATATTACATTACATTACATTACATTACATTTATTATATTATATTATATTTATTATTATATTATATTATATTATTATATTAATTATATTAATTAATTATATTATATTATATTATATTATATTATATTATATTATATTATAT